GGGGGGGTAGGGGGAAGGAGGGGTTAGCCGGCTGGTGGTAGCGGTGGATGTGGGTGGTGGAGCGGTGAAGGAGGAGGCGGTCATAGTTGGAGTAGATTGGAGCTAGAGAAGGAGAGGACTGTCCCCAGTGATATCAGGCCGATATGGGTGTTCGTGACCAAGGAAATAAATGAATGTAGGGCCTTGTAGTGTGAGTTCCCCCCACCTCCACTCACTACTCACTCTCCCCCTCCTCCGTCTCTCTCTCCCTCACACACACACAAACATACACACCCACACACACAATATCGCAGTGATACATGTCCCCCAGCTGGGGGAAAGGCGCAGAGCAGAAGGGGTCGATAACAACTCCACGGCTTTTCAAATGTGCCGCTCACTGAGTTTTGATCCACGCCATGTTCTTAAACGATTCGCGAATTTGAGCATATGAGTCCAATCGAGGCATCGGGCATCGGGGCATTTTACTTTTCGGCTCGTACAACAATAATACGGTCATATGTGGCAAATTTTTAACGTCCAAAGGAGCGAGGGGAGGGGACGTGGGAGAGAGACAAACGTATCTAGCAGCATGGTGGGCTCCTTTCCCAAAGCGACCTCTTGCCGAGGTGTTCGCCCGCACCCTCGAGCTGAGGCGCGCCCGCCACGCTCGGGGTGGGCAGCCCTGCGAGGCAGGCGCGCGGCCGGGCGGCCTCCCCGCGGGCGGCAGGGGCTCCCCTCTCCCCAACGAGTGGATCCCAAACTCACCCGAACGTCCGCCAAATGTCGAAGCACATGACGTTGAGCCACGAGAAGGCGGACAGGAACATGAAGAGCATACAGTTTCCTAGAAGAAAAAAAAAAAGAAAAGAGGAGCAAACAAAGGAAACGAGAAGGAAATGAGAAAGGGCGCGCGAAATGAAACGAGAAGAGTAATGAGTAGGGAAACAAAGTGCATGTGGATCTACTCGGCAGACCGCGAGTTTACTTTTTCCGTCCCGTAAACACTCGGGCCGGGCCCTCAAATAGCGATCCCGCCGCTCGTGCGGCCACGCTCGCGCGGCCACGCCGCTCGCCCCGCAGGCCGACCACCACTGGACGCCGCGCCGACAGCCACGCCCCGCCACGCCACACCCCATCACGGCACTACACCTTGTAACCCATCGCCAGCAAACATGACTCATACAGGTCGTTGCTGGACTCTCTCTGACTGTGCAATAAATAGTACAACATACGGACGTCGTTTCGAGAATGATATAGCCAGGCCATTAATTTATAGTTTGGTTTGTACTCGAAAAACACAAAGAGTAACTCACGAAAAATATCACCCCATTTATTTTTACTCTCCTCCCCAAATCGGATTCCGTTAAGTAGCTATATTACTGGCCGCACAATTCCTCTCAAAGTACACGGCCTGTCTCTCGTGGGCGTAACCTCTAAGTATAGCCACAGATCGCGCATGCAGTGTTAGCGCTCCGCTGTAACGGGCCGCCCTCTTTCACTTCCATTCGTCTTTTTGTAACCGTACCACCCCAAAAGCCACAACCAAACTCATTCAAAGGAAAAATAATTTTTGCAATTGATCATCATATTTTACTGGCGGCCCCCAAGGCTGGCTGCTGGCTCTAATTTCAATCTGCAAATTTGACTGGCTAGGAGTCGTTCTTTACCGATGATTGTGCAGATCCACTCCTTCTCCATGATGACGGTCTTGGTGAGCAGCTGGGTGAGGGCGAGGAACAGGTAGGCGATGAGCAGGCTGAACACGTGGCACATGAGCGTCTTGCCGTGGAGGTTCTGCAGCGCGGGCAGGCAGCAGTAGGTGAGCAGGGTGAGCGCCAGGAACATGCAGGACACGAGCAGCCCGATGGTGATGATGTTGATCCGCGAGTTCTCCTCCACCTGCAGAACCACACAATTGTGTAAGCCGCGAGGGTTCGCATAGCCGTCCGGGGGAGAAAAGTAGGGGGTACTTCCGTAAAGCGAACCTGCGTCGGGTCCGTATCCGGGAGGCAGACGAGCACGGACGTGTTGGCCAGCTCCTGCGAGTCGTCCAAACAGTACTGCTGGGTCTCAATCTCGGGCCAGGTGGGCAGGTACAGCATCCCCATGCGGTCGAAGAACCACACGTCGCCGTTGTCCTCCAGCCGGAAGCGGAACTCGGGGCAGACGTTGTGGACCACGGAGGAGAAGGTGACCTGGTGCGGCCGCTGGTCCGCGACGAACCGCTGGTACGCCTCCTCCACCAGGTCCTGCGCGGAGCGGTGCACGTAGGCGAACTCGTCGCTCCTGTTGACGGCTGGAGGGTCGGCGACCTGGAACAGAACGTGGAGCTGAGCATGGGGATGGGCTCGCTGTGCTGGCGCACGCAGTAGAGCTTTGTCGCCTACCTGGGGACGCAGCGGCGGCTGGTCTGGGTCGGGCGGGCGCGGGACACAGACGTGCACGCCACCCACCGGCATGAAGTACTCGTGGTGCGGGCAGCACTTCCGGAAGCAGCCGAAGCGCTGGCACACCTGGTAGGCGGCCACGGCGGCCTTCCCGAGGCACACCTTGACGACCAGCGTCCCCGCAGAGCCCGCGTCGTCCACGCAGTACTCGCCGGGGCCGAGGCGCCAGGTGGCGTCCTCCCCGACGCCGCGCAGGGCCGCGGGCCGCAGCGTGATGACGCCGTGCTCGTCGACGAGCTGCTCGTCCCAGGGGAAGGCGTCGAACACGGCCACGTCGAGCAGCGCCTGATGCAGGCCGTCACCGTCGCGTTATTCATGGGGTCGGGAGGCATCCCTCCGCATCCCGGGGCGCGCACCTACCGTCTGCTCGTACTGGTCGTTGTTCTCGTCGTCGACCTGGTCCTGCTCGGACCGTCGCGGCGGCCGCTCACAGTCCGGCGGACCGACGCGCATGTCCACGAGCGCGCTGAGGTTCTTGTGGAACACCCGTCGGAACAGCGCGTTGACGGCCTGCTGCTGGCTACCGTAGTCGGCGGGTGGAGGCAGGGTCCACGCCGCCGGCGTAGTGCTCACGGCGTTCTCGTCGTCGTCGTCGACGACGGCCCCCCGCCCATCGACGCACTCCCTGGACGCCAGGTCGTACGACTGGTGTACGGCGCAGCACTTGCGGAACGGCACGACCGGGGCAGCGGGGGCGGCGGGGTCGTTGGAGGCCCGCAGCCGCGCCATCTCTGTGCCACCCGCTGTGGTGAACAGCGGAGGGGATAACATGATACACACTAGGAACACCGCGCTGGGACTGGGACTGGTTGACTCTTTCACTCACCGAACACTGCCCCCTGCACGCAGGCCATGCCCGCCATGACCTGGGCCACGACCTGGCCGCTGAGGTCCGTCTCGGCCAGCTTGTCCACGCAGTAAGGCTCGGCGTGCGGCTCCGTCGCGTTGTCCAGGAGCACGAGGTGGCACCTCTCCCGTGGGCAGGACGTCGGGAAGCCGTACTGCCCCTCCGCGCCCCCGGGCTGCAGCGACCACAGGATCGACGAGGACGAGTCCGTGATTCTGCACGTGACCTGGTTGTCGCAGCCCGGGGCGTTCACCCGGTACATGCTCAGCCCCGGGGGGCAGCACTTCCGCGCACTACTCGGCGTCGGCGTCTGCGCGGCGTCCACGTCGGCGGGCGCCGTCACGTTCACTTGAAACGTCTCCACGTCACCGAGGTCGTCGTCGTCGTACTGGAGGGCGCCCGCCGCCGACGCCAGCAGCACGAGCAGCAGGGCGCCGCCGCTCCCGGAGCCCATGTCGTCGTGGTCCTCGCCGAGGTCCTGTCGGCTGATGGGCGCACCGCGGACTGGGCCGCGGGGCGCGGGCGCCTCCGCGGCGGCAGCTGTTGCTTCTCCGCCGCGCCGCCGCTCGCCACGCCGCCGCGTCCGCCCCCTCCGCCGGCTGCGTGTTGCGCGGGGTGCGCCCCGGGGTGGTTGCCTGCCGCTTGGCCTGCCGCGCCGGCCTTGTGCTTTGTGCGGTGCGGCGTTAGGCTACCCGAGCCGGACGGG